CTGCCCACTGCATGCTAAAAGACAGAACAGAAAATGTGAGCTTGGAAGCCAAATTATAAACTCATTTCAACTCTTGCCCTCAGGCTCTGAAGCAACATTATTTGTTGTCAAGGATGGAAAACAACTCAGATTTGAGTCCGAGCGATTATTTCACTCTGGCACCGGTGCTTTTCTGCCAACTGCAATTCCATGTAGACATAGATGAATTATCCAGGCAGGGATGGAAGTGGCCTGTGAGTGCAAAGCCAAAGGAGGCAGGGCTACAGATTCCACTCTCAGCAGAGGGCACTGCATTGGGGCTGAAGAGAATGGGCGCCAGTGGGCAGCAGCCCGTGTAACGGTGTTGCTTGGTAAATGAGATAGGATAGGACGGTCCCATAGGCTTCCTAGGCAGTGTTATCGTTGTCGATGACAACACTGATGGCCTGGATTACACCCCAACACAAAGAAACCAAAAATCCTCATCATAGGAGCCAATAAGCTACACCTTGATGAACAGACAACAGATTGACGTTGTGAAGGATTGATTTCATTTTATTGGGACCCACAATCAATGCTCCTGGAAGCAGCAGTCAAGAAATCAAAGGAGAACCCCAAAGCTTGAGAACTGCAAATTCCTTTGTTGGAAAGCATAGGAATTCCTAAGTCCATACAGATAAATAGGAGAATAAAGGCAAATAAGGATATGGTGGTGCTGGTAGGGTAAGATTTGGATTGCTAACTGCAAGAAGAGTGGTTCAAATCCTCCAGTCACTCGGTGGGAAAAGGATGAGGCTGTCTACTCTTTCCTATAAAGGACTATAGCCTTTGAAGTCCTATATAGAGTTGCTATGAGTGTATGCAGCAGTACATTGACATGGAAGTTCAGGCTGGATTCAGAAGAGGACATGGAACAAGGGTTATCATTGCTGGTGTCAGATGGATCGGTTCAAAGCAGAGAAGACCAGAAAGAGATTTAGTTGTGTTTCATTGATTAAGCAAAAGCATTTGACTGTATGGACCATAATAAACTGTGGATGATCTTGAGAAAATGGGAATTCTAGAACACTTTATTGTGCTCATGTAGAACTAACTGTACATGCAGCAAGGGGCTATTGTGTACACAGAAAAGGGGAATACTGCATGGTTTAAAATCAGGAAAGCTGTCCGTGAGGGTTCTATCCTCTCACCATTACTTGTTCAATCTGTATGCCAAGCCAGTCATCAAAGAAGCTGGAGTATATGCAGAAGGAGTGAGACATCAGAATTGCAGGAAGGCTTATGAACAACCAGCAGATGACACAACCCTGCTTGCTGGAAGTGAGGCAGACTTGAAGCACTTGCTGATAAAGATCAAAGATTATAGCCTTCAGTATGGATTACAACTCAATTAAGGAAGGCCCAAATCCTCACAACTGGACCAATAAGTAATATCATGTTAAGTGGAGAAAAGGTGGGGGTTGTCAAGGATTTAGTCTTACTTGGATCCCAAATCAGTGCTCATGGAAGCAGCAATCAAGAAATCAAAACACGCATTTCATTAGGTGAGTCTGTTGCATAAGACCTCTTTGAGTATTGAAGAGCAAGGATGTTTCTTTGAGGACCAAGGTGACCCAAGCCATGGTATTCCCCATTACATTATATGCATTTGAAAGATGGAAGTTGAATGAGGAAGACCATAGGAGAGTGAATGCATTTGAATTGTGGTGCTAGAGAAGAATATTGAAAGTACCACGGACCGCTGAAAGGACAAACGGATCTGTATTGGAAGAAGTAAGGCCGGAGTGCTCTAAGTAAGGCCTGAGAGGCAAAGATGGCAAGATTTCTTCTTACATACTTTGGACATGTTGCCAGGAGAGACCAGTTCCTAGAGAAGGACACCATGCTTAGTAAAGTGGACGGGCAGCTAAAAAGAGGAAGGTCCTTGATGAGATGGATGGACACAGTGGCTGCATCGGTGGGCTCAGGCTCAGGCGCAGTTGTGAGGATGGCGCAGGGCCATGTAGTGTTTTATTCTGCTGTGCATAGGGTCACTATGGTTCAGATCAATGGCACCTAATAAGAATGAGTCATCAAGTTTGGCTTTTTTTTTTTTTTTAAGTCATCATTGTAAAAATTGGGTTCTGGCAAGAAACATTAATGGAAGGGGGACATCTTTCGTTGTATTTTTATTTGGTAGCAATTTTCCCTTCTTCTGGTTTTATGTTTCCATATGTCTGAAAGTTGACTAAGAGTTCCATAGTACAAAAACAGTTGGGTCATATAAAATTTCTAATAAAAAAATTAAAGCGATCTCTTGCATTGAGCTAATCTACTGCAGAAGACTTCTTTAAAGTGTTAAAGAGCCAAGATGTCCCTTTGGGGCTTAAGGTGCACCTGACCTGAGCCATGGTCATGTGTTATCCTTTCATATGGATGTGAAAGGCGCACAGTGTGTAAGGAAAACCAAAGAAGAATCGAAGCCTTTGGATTACGGTGCTGGTGCGGGATATTGAGTATCCATGGGCTGCTGGACAAAAGAGCCAGTCTGTCTTGGAGGCACTAAAGCCAGGATGCGCCTTAGAAGCGAGGATAGCAGTCTTCATCTCACATACTTTGAGATGATGTCACCAGAGACCCATTGGAAAAGGAAAGGGAAATCCTGCTCGGTCAAGTAGAAGGTTCATGAAGAGAAAGAGGAAGTCCCTCTGGGAGATGGATTTATACAGTGGCTACCGAAGTGCATTCAAGCAGAGCAAGGATTGTAAGGACGGCCCACGACCAGGCAGTGCTGTTGTTCTGAGTCCGAACCCACTCAATGGTAGCTAGCAACAGCCATCTTTCTGGATGCAAATCTTCAGATCTTTCTCCTACAAAGTCACTGGGTAGGTTGGAACCATTAACCTTTTGATTTGTGCCAAACACCACCAGGGTACCTCACACATGAAACCTACATCAAAGTGTGATAAGGCTTTAGAGATATAAAAAATCTTAGCATAGTGAATGATGGGGGGAGTGCGGAGTGGAGA